GCGTGGGGGGCGGGGAGGGAAGGAAGGGGGTTTCCGCCCCCGGGGCTGCGCCCTGAAGCCACAGACTAACCTTAGGGAGTTGGTATGGCCAGTCGTGCGGGCTTGGGGGCTGCTCCGAAGCACACTCCGCATGTGCGTATGCTGAGACCCGTGTCAGGGCCGCAGAAGCCGGTGGCCTGGTCCTAGGAGCCCACCCGCCTCCTGCCACTCCCCCATCCCCTCTGGCTCTGTGCGCACAAGTTCTCAGACACCCTCAGGGTGTCCAGCGCCGTGCCCAACCCTCACGCCTCTCTCTAGACAACGCCCAAGACTACCAGTGGATCGGCCTGAATGACCGGGCCATCGAAGGGGACTTCCGCTGGTCAGACGGACACACCTTGGTGAGTTCTGCCGGGGAAGCCGGGGAGAGTTGGCGGCCCCGAGGACGGGAGTAGAGGCACCCACTGAGCCGCTGTTGGGCTGGGAGCCCTGCGGGCCGGGACCGCATCTCGGTCCTCTCTGCCAGGGTGGGTCGGGGAACACTAGCATGAAGGAGGGCTGAGGCAGACGATGACGGAACGCAGGCACACCAGCAGAAGGGGGACACGGAGGCTTTTAAGGGCTTCCTTGCCCACAGAGGATTCAGTCGACTCAAGGAGGCAGGCCACAGAAAGCGACTAGATGCCAAGGGACAGTACACAAAGTAATGCTGCAGCTCAGCAGAGGAAGTCAGGGACGGCTTCCTGGAAGAGGTGGATGGGAACAGAGTTGGAGGGTGGGAGAAGCGGACTCCGCCCGAGGGCCAGGCCTGAGGGAGAAGCCTAGGGAGATAGTCTGGACCTGGGAGCCACGTCTTCCCCCGCCCAGTCCTACCCAAGCAAGGCAGCCTGTGAGGCCCGCCCCTGCTGGCCCGATGGAGGAGGAGTGGCATGGGCTCCTCAGGGACAGAGAAGAAGGTGGGGGTCAGGCCGAGCTCCGGCCTCAGCCTCACCCCTGCCAAACCCTCACCCCCCAGCAATTTGAGAACTGGCGCCCCAACCAGCCGGACAACTTCTTCGTCAGCGGAGAGGACTGCGTGGTGATGATCTGGCACGAGAAGGGGGAGTGGAACGACGTGCCCTGCAATTACCACCTGCCCTTCACGTGTAAAAAGGGCACAGGTGAGCGGCCACCCTGGAGCGGCCCAGCCTGGCTGAGGTCAGGCCCTGGGGCTCCTGCTGTGGGATCTGGGGCACATATCCTGGCCTCCTGGGTGCTGCTGTCCCCGTAACCGCCCAGCAGGCAGACTGGCGCTGGTCTGGGCGTGGGGGGCTCTCCCTGTGCCAGCGTCCCAGGGCCAGTGGCAAGAGCAGGCCCATTCCTAGGGAGGGCGGGGGTCCCAGGCTGGAGGACAGACCGGCTCCCCCACACACAGCCCCCTGGGCACCTGCACAGAAAGTCACACGCGAGGACTGCCCTGGGTGGGCAGCCCGGCGCTCTTCGGGGTCCCCAGAGCTGTCAGTGGTCAGGTCCCGATCCTCTCTTCAGAGTCTGCATACACGGTGGTACTGGTCGAACATGGCCCTCCGGTTCCTGTGCCCTGCCCAGGCCTCCTTTCTGTCCCGCTATTTTCATAAAGAAGTCACAGGCCGTCTGCCTGGCTCTCGCCCCTTGTCCCACTCTTTTCCCTCCCTGTTGTCCTTCCCTCGTCCGCTCGAGACCCTCCTTCTATTCCTGCCCCTGCTGCCCTAAATCACAGAGGGGCCCAGATGCTAGAACCAGTGGTTCCCAGATGCTTAGCACGGTGTGAAAACGGGCCTTTGCCAGCAGCCAGGGCTCAGGGCCATCTGTCCCTTCCTTGGGCTCTGTGCTGTCTCCTCACAGCCAGAGGGGGCTGCACCGGCTCATCATAGGCATGGGCCATCACGGGAGACCCTCTGAGAGCCCTTTCTCAAGGGTGTTTGCCCCTCAGTGGCCTGCGGTGATCCCCCTGTGGTGGAACACGCCAGGACCTTCGGGCAGAAGAAGGACCGGTATGAGATCAATTCACTGGTGCGGTACCAGTGCACCGAGGGCTTTGTCCAGCGCCACGTGCCCACCATCCGCTGCCAGCCCAGCGGGCACTGGGAGGAGCCTCGGGTCACCTGCACAGACCGTGAGCACCGCCCCCACCCCCGACCCTGGCTGGGCACAGTGTTAGATCCCGGGACCAGGTCCTCCTGCTCTCTCCCAGGGGGGGCCTGAGCACCAGCTGTCTGCACTGTCCGGGGCCTCACTCCCTCACACTCACTCCCTCTGCCCTTGGGGAGGGCTCGCTCTCTAAGGAAAAAGCAGGTGGCCTGCTTTCCTTTTCAACACCAGCTCAAAGGCCCTTAGCCCAAGTTGGTGCCAAGAAAAAATCAAAACCAGAAACCGGGCGAAGCCTCAGGTTGCTTTCTTGAGCCCGTGGTTCCTGCGGGGAAGGGGAAGAGGAGGGACCCGTGGGGAGAGGCTGGGCTGCCCCAGCTCCCTGTTGAGCAAGCGGTCAAGATTTCTGGTCTCCCTTCCACCCCAGCCTCCACATACAAGCGCAGACTACAGAAGCGGAGCCCACGGGCCCCACGGAGGAGCCGCCCCAGCACAGCCCACTGAGGGGAGCCTCCAGGACGCGCCCAGGATGCTGAGCCCAGGAGCCTCGCCAGACTGACGTCCCACACGGATGGTGTCCCCTTCTTGTCGCTTTCTGTCATATAAGGAATTCCATTAAAGAAGGAGAAAATCAAATCCCACATTGTGTATGCAGCCGCCCCCCCCCCCCCCCCAATTGCCAAAACTGCATCTGATTCCCCCCCCAATGCCAAAGCCAAGCAAATGTATTGTAACCCGTGGACTGAGTTTAGAGACATTTCTTCAATCTCCCGTTGTGCCTTTCCAGGGACCAGTGCAGGGACAGGGGGAGAAGGGGAGGGGTTAAGTTAAATAAAGAAGATTATTTTTTGTTTCCTGACTTTATCCAAGAGCAGTGCAATCGTCGGTTCTTTCACCTCCAGGGAGAGCTAGGGGGGAGGGAGGAAGGGGCACGAGGAGCTGGGACCGGACGGACGGCAGCTGAATGTATTGGAGGAAGGAGAGCTGCACCCTCTGTGTGGGGGAAGAAGCCTGGGGGAGAGGGGGCGGCCTCCGCTGAAGGTGAGGGGGCAGGAGAGAGCCATGGAGGGATCTTCCGCTGCGTGGGGGTCGGGTTCCCTCCCAGGGTCCCTCTTCCAGCATCCTCTCACCTGGGTCTCCCACCCGAGCAGATGTACATCTCTCTCGGCAGGGCTGGGTGGGGAGGGCACTTCCTTCCCAGCGGGAGCGCCGCCCCACCCCTCCCCTCCCCCCACCCCCC